TGTCTGTCTGTCTGTCTGTCTGCCCGTCTGTCCGTGTATTGAATGTCCATGTTCATAATTGTGCAACCGTGTATACATCAAACCCCGCTTCATGCAAGAAGTCCCGTACCTTCTCCGGGCTGCCAGGATGGCGGCGAGGAGGGCGACGCGCAAGCCTTCTCAGCGAGGGGCACAGCAAAACTTGTCATCTCACTGCCAGGGAATCAAACTTCTGTTTTACTACTTTCATTGCCATGACTAATTATTGCTCATTACATAATCAGTCTTGCTACCACCCGGTCTTCCTTCTCACGCCCCGAAGCACAGCGCCACTGTCCCCCTACCACCACTCATCGCAGCACACAAACGAACATGACAACCCGAAAGATTCATGATCACGCCCACCCGCAGGTCACCACCACTGCAACGACGACTACATCCATTACTCTACTCCCAAGATCCAGCCCTGCGCTGCCAAGGACCAATCAAACCGACTGACAGATCGAAGGGGTTGTCCATGCCTGGAGAGGTCCCCAAACCTTCAGCTGAGGGAATATAGCACTCTTAAAGATCCTTCCACCCATTTCCATTCTTTTTACAGTATCTGCCAGGTCTGCCTGTGTGGAAATGTCTAGCCCTGCAGGAGTTGGGCTTGTGCTGTCGGGGAACCTCTGCTGGCAGCAGCGGCCACTGCGCTGGCGGGGGAGGCGGCCTCTCAGTTTGGTGATTGCATGAAGCCTTGTACTGATAATCCCCAGATAATACGCACCAAGTAGTGGTGAGTAAAGGCCGTTAGGTTAAAGCTGATGCAGCGGAAGCTGCGGCGGCGGTGCTGCTGCTGCTGACGGCAGTGGGGGCTAAGGAGCGTCTGAGCTGACTAAAATGCAGCTCTCCGCTGCGAGAATGCGGCATTCTTCCCGTCATGTGCCGAGACCATTGATCCTCTATTCAGGGTCGTCAAAACAAGGTTCCAATCATGCTGTGACAGTCATCTTTCAAGGAGAAAGTAACTCCGCAACACGCCACTATGCCCACAGGCCTCCTGCACATTGTGTGGGAAAGGGCGACCTGGACTCATGGAAAACTGCTGATGAAATTATTGCCGACCCAGGCTCATCACTTGCAGCCCCCCTACGCCCTGAGCCTGCCTCCTTCTCAGAGCCACTGGAGCAACTTGTCTCTGCATCCACCTCCTCAAGCCACACAACAACGCAACAACGGCTCTGCACATGAATCCGCCTACAAACTTGCTACGTTTTTTGCTCAACTTGGCCTCGTGTAGCTTTTGTTTTCGCACCATGTCCTTGCAGTTGCTGGCCGGAGTTGACCTGTGGCTCAAGCATCAAGCAAAGCCGCAAAGTCTTCTTCTTGAGCCCACTCTGCTGTGTAGGAGAGTTTATGTAGAGGTTTCTCAAGATTCTCTGCCCCTCTTGGGCACGCTAACCAAAGTGCGAATATTTGTGAGTGAGGGGATGTTATGCAAAGGGCCCCTGCAGATAGCGCTTTGTCAAAAGTGCAAAGAATGTGGCAGCCTCTGCTGCCACACATCCTCCAAAAGCATCTAGCGGCAAAACTGTTGATGTTCCATATTGATGTATTTGCTGCCTACTATGCTTATGTGAAAATGGCTACTATTAACCACTATCCACAATGGAATCTAGTTCCGGATCCAAGTTTTTGCTGCCATTCTTAGCAGTCGACATGCACGTCCAAAGGTCTCATTTTTGCCCGCAGGTATTCCGTAGTACTTTGTGGGGCCTGAGTTGACAAAACGTGCTTCCAAAAAGGTGCTATATGGTTCTAAAGGGCTTATTCATAAAGTATACGAACCAGCTCTGTAGGGTCCCTCAATCTATGTCACGTGCCCCGATGCACTGTCGTAAGAACACTCTAATTAGCAGTCAACACCTCTCTCCAATTCCCCAGCACTGAAGAGCCCACTCTCGCTTTACATCTCTATCATCTCCATCAAACTATGATACAGCTAGTACCCAGAATGTCATTTACGTTCTGCTGTCGTCCGCAATGGCTCTGCAGCTCTGGGCCCCCGGCGCAAGCAAGCTTGGCAGCAACGTCTGCTTCATCTCTACTGGATGTGACGCAACACTGAGCGGCTTAGGACGCTTGGCTTGAGACCTGTCTTGGCTTGCCGCGACACACGAGTATAGGAATTGATCAGAATGGATCAAGATGCATGTTCCGAAATGTCCACTGTAGGACACAAGTGTTCCACATCTCGTCAGCCGCATAAGCCGACCATGCCATTGCTCCAATCGAACCATTAAACCACATTGAACCCATGTCCGTGCCGATCGGGCATCATCATAGTCGTATACCGCAAATGCCAGCATTCAAGCCACCCTGGGGATGAGAAATAGAACACTGACAATCATGATATTTCATGATGCTTTTGCAATCCCGGCCGCAGTGGCTACTGATTACACCATCGATGTTGCTGTCCGAAGTAACACTCTGACGGCTGAAATTACAACTACCACAATGGTTTGTGTGGTGCTCTGTTCGGGATGCACAGTTCATCTGAGAATCAGTGATCCATGTCTAGTGAGTCTAGTGGTTACAGCCTCTATCTCCATTTGCCCATTCTTGTTGCTGAGATCTTCACGCACACCACAGGGCTGTAGCCACATCTGGCTAACCTGGCCGAATTTTAGCATTCTGCTGTAATTCTGAGGCTCATGCTGCCCTTCGCCAAAACAATATCTGCTTGTGGACACCTTCTGAATGCTGTAGGAACCCCCATGCATCTCTCGATGAGGATCTGTAGTTCAATTCCACATACAGCCAAAGTTGTCACTGAACGTGCAGACTTGGGGAACAAAATGATGCGGGTAAGGCCTTCTCCAAACATCCGAACCCCCTGGCACAAACCTGGCATTATCAGCGAAATGGCTCTGCTAATCATCCGATGTCAGCCTTAGCTCAACCCGCTCCTCCTTGTCACTTTGTCTAATGCTTCCCCTGCCCTTACAGGCGCTGCTCAGAGCTTGCCATGGCCTACGCAAAGCCACACTGTCCTTTAAGAGAACTAGCTAGATGCTTAGATGCTGAGACGGACCATGTCTCATGTACGAGAACCTGGCAATGGCTGACAGCCTGCTTTCCAAACGCCTGCTGATGAAAAATGAAAGTAGACTTGCATACCTCCCAAACACGCGAGGATGCCATCAACAGCAAAAAATTAGGAAGTCCCATGTAAGTCTCGCCAATAGTCCTGCAGATACCGCAACCATCAAAACACCCACAATCCTGCAGATCCCCAGAATCTCCACATATCTCCGAACGTTACATGCAGTTTGTGTGGTGACACCTGCAATTTCAAAATTACCCTCCAACCCAAAGCCAGCAAAGGTTTGCC